TTACTGTAATCCATGGTTGTTTCCCTTCTCTTTGCTGCTCTTCCTTTTAAATCTGTATCTGTTCTCATGCTCTGCAGAACTTCTGTTTTGCAGCAGACTGCCTTGTCTCAGGAATGGATATACGGTGTCTGTGTATTAGTTTCTATAGGCTTGTAACCTATAGGCAGGAAGAGGCCCTGAGCTGAAAAGGGAAGTTCTCCCCAAGCATGAGAAGACATGAGGATTTAAAAGGAAGAGCAGCAAAGAGAAGGGAAGCTACCATGGATTACAGTAAGGCGCACATTACAGTATTGGTTTATGTTAAAAAATCTGAGGGTTTAATGTCACTTTAAGGAGTGCGTTCAAGATAAATAGACATCTAGAAAGGATTGTCACCAGCACACCATCATTCTGAGCCTGATGAAGGGGTACTGCTGAGACCCCGAAAGCGCTTGTATTGGATGGCGATTTGTCAATAAAGGACTTTTTGCTTCAAAACTTTTGGTGTGCTGGTGACAATCCTTTCTAGATCTGCATTGTTCACGGGGCCGTCTGTGGTCACTACAAGCACCCACCTGCTTTGCAGGTTTACTACTATTCCGGTAAGGAGTGCAGCTAGTTCTTGACTACAAGATAGACAGACACCAGGAGGTAAATAGTAAACTTCTGCTGTTATATAGAAATACATAATCCACTAATAGTGAACAACACAGAATCAGATATAACTTTGTAGAAGTTGTTTGATGTACAGAGACTATAACAAGCAATGTTCTATAAGTAACACCGAAACAGTCTCCTGCTACCGTGCATTCCTAATACGCTGTCAAACCAGGCTATTCTACTCTGGGAACTCCGCAAAAGCTCAGGGGCATCTCAACTCCCTGTTAATATTATATATTCTCTGATCCTATAGCATGTCTGCCTCTGTGACTCCTGGGAAAGACATGAGACTTCTGAGCAATGTTTAAATAAAATATAATTTTAAAAAACTCAAGCCTCATCTTTAAAGATGTCTCAGTGTCAGCCTCAGGTAAGTGTTCACAATGATGGTAAGGAATACCGAGCTTTTATGGTGAAGGAAAATATGCTGGACAGAGGTCATCAAAGACTTTCTGCAACAAGACAGCACAAGAATTCGGTAATCATAATATACCGCTAACTTTCTCCCAGTGAAACTTTTTTCACCAAGCTGAGAAATCTTTAGACATGATTATCTACTATATTCCTTATGAATATCTATAGAACGGGTCTACTGTAAATGATGAACTGTCGCTTGCAGCAATTCTAAAATGAATTCCACAAAGGCCTTGGCTCGGTACAGAGGATGGTGTGATCATTATGGCTTATACAAAATTGTCTGGCATTTCCACAATACAAAATTCAGAATGCTAATTTTTTGGCACGAATAACTTTACAAGAGTCTTATAGTTTAATCCCCATGAATTAAAGGGAAGCTGCGCTTATCCATGCAGGGCAAAGCATCAGATTTGATTTAAAGTGATATTAAAGTTAAAAGGTTATTAAAATATTCCAAGTGCTGATGAATAAAGGGGGAAGGGGGGGGGGGGGGCTTGGTGATCTTACCATGTTTCAGGTTACACCCTAAATATGATTGTAAAAACACACCTGTGATGGAGTACTATCTCATGTTTAGTTTACTAATCTGTACTGAGATTGTAGTCCACCACGGGAGTAGGCTTGGAGTGGTGACAACTTTACAACACACACAGGGACCATGGGGAACAAAAGTAGCCCCCTTCAGAAGGGAGGAGAGTGTCAGCACCAATTCAGAGATGATTTGAGGATCTACAGGTGAGCGACACACAAATAAGATACAGTTTTGTTAATAGTAGGGGTACTTGAATGCATTTTTAAGGTTTAATTCCTGAGTTTAGTGTAATTTTAATGCTTTAGCGGCTGAAGACAGGAATACCTGATGCCACTTTGGGTGGGTGGTCATATTAATGTTCCTGACCAGGGAGCTTTGGCGGTTGAGTGGCCTCCTGCAGAGAAGTCACAGCACTGTAACTATTTCAATCCTGTTGCTGGATTTATTATCGGGAATAAAATTCTATGAACCTCCCATTGAATCTGGTGAACGTGACACTAATCCTCTCCACGCTGCACTGCGGACTCCCTCTCCCTCCGACCCGATTATCTTATTTACTTATTCAACTTCCCCGGAGGACACAACGCTGCCACCAGACCACTTAAATTAATTGAATAACAGTTTAATTGTCTCTGGGTTGCAGGATGCGAGGTGTGACTGGTCTAAGCACTGCAGAGGACAAAACACATTGCGGACTATAATACGCTCCAGCATGTCAATTCTTCCACACTGAATGCACCTTCATCCTTTTCAGAGGATTATTCATCTCACGCTGCAGCGAGGCGGCCCTGCCAGCGAGGAATGTCTGGAAGGCTGTGCTCAGAAGACCCTCGTACTTTTCTAACAACAGTTTATCCTCCGGTGGGTAGATACGCCTGAGAGGTAAACAAAACAAAAAAACACACACAAATACCGGCCCGTGAGTAATTTTTCCATTGTCTTTGATAAAGAACACAATCAGAATAGCATTAAAACAAAAGTGCGGAGCAGAGGAGACAGTGAAAAGTCCGCTATGCAAAGGGTACAGACATACCGTCACAGACACAAGTGGGAGACATATTTTATTTAGCGGAGTTCAGGAAAGAAAGTAGGGAGCCTGAGATGTGTGTGAGCAGAGAAATGTAAGGGGAAACTATCACGATAGAAATATCAGAGGCTGTTATCCGTATGCTGGACTGGAGAAAGTGGCTTAGACGTTAGCACTTCACCCTTACACCACTGTCCTTGGTTTGAATCCTGGATAGGACACTATCTACATGGAGTTTGCATGTTATCCTTGTGCTTGCATGGCTTTCCTCCAGGTACTATAGTTTTCACCCACACTACATGCTGCTAGGTTAATTGTCTCCAGTCTAAACTTGGCCCCAGTATGTGAATGTAAAATAGGGACCTTAGATTGGAAGCTTCTTGAGAGAGGGACTGATGTGTATGTAGGGCAATGCATAAACGGTTGATGCTATATAAATGACTGTAATAAATACATACCTGCATGTACAGTATATACATATAAACTTCAAAATGCTAACAACAAAAACCCATCCACAGCTCTGCCCCCAGCTACATCACCAACTTCACTTCAAAATATCACCCAAACCTTCATCTCCGTGGCTCTTTAGCATCGTCTCATCTTATGCTCACCTCTATGATTTCTCCAGAGCCTCTTCCATCCTCTGGAACTCTCTACTCCAGCCATCTCACACTCAGCCTGCCTTTAGGCATTCCCTGAAAACTCTTTTATTCAGGGAACCCTATTGTGCCTCCACCTAACAACTGAATTTTTACCTTCATCAATTCATCCCCATACAGTTATTACTTTTTTGTATCATGTTTTAGATTGTAAGCTCTCATGGGCAGGGCCCTCCTAACATTCTCACCTTGCATTGTATTGTAATTGTACTGTCTCCCTTTGCTTTGTAAAGCACTGCGCAAATATTGGCACAAGGGATGCGACGATACTAGTACCAGTATCAGTGCTGATAACGAGTGTTTGAACGAGTACTCGTACTCGCCCAAATGCTCCCAATGCCTATCCCGATACCGGAATTTCTGGCATCAATAAGCCGGGCAGCAAGTCGTTACACACTGCCCGGCTTCCTGATTGCCTTCTCACATGGTGTCGAGGAAGCATTAAGCCGGCTTTCTGGCCAATCAGGAAGCCGGGGGGAGGGTAATGACTCGCCCGCCTGGCTTCCTGATTGGCCAGCTTCCCGACCAATCAGGAAGCCGGGAGGCGAGTCATTACATGCCGCCTGGCTTCCACAGTGGCCGGGAAGCCAGCTGAGCATTGAGTCGACTTCCCAGCCAATTAGGAAGCCGGGGACGAGTCATTACACACTGCCGGCTTCCTTAATGGGACTTCTGGTATCGGTATTGACAAGTACAAACAAAATATTGGTACTCGATACCAAAAAAACGGTATTGTTGCATCTCTAGTTGACACTATATAAATCCTCTATAATAATAATAATAATAATAATAATAATAATATCATAATATCATAAAACATGTCAGTTAGTACTTATGGCCCATAGTGCTTTTCATATACAAATAGGTTAATAGGTTAAAAAGGAATAGATATGATTTTAAATAATGTTTTTTAATAAATATTCAAGGTAAAATAAGACTAAATATATAAAATAAGGAACCATAAATATACAGTATACTATTGGAATTTATTTGATTAAAATACAAATTACCCAGTATGTTATTATATATAAAAAAAATAGTAATAACAGTGGTGTGCATTGGAAATAGAAACATCTCATACACTGGTAGATTTTCTTATGAAGGTTCATACGAAAAATCCCATCTGAACAATTATGCCGTCAGAGACTTGACAAATGTCATTTTAAAGTTCTTTTTGTTTTAACATTCGATTTTATATATGAATGGGATTTCCTGAATGAAAATCACATTCACTATTAGAATTTTGTTCAATCAAGAAAAAGCTTCCATCCTGCTTCTTTGGTTTTTTTCATCACTGCGGTCAAAAACAATCAATCTGACCCCATTATCTATTAGTAAATCTAACAAACGTCCTGAAAAAGATTTTTTTGAACAACATTGTACTAGTGTATGGCCAACCTTACATGAGAAGGTGACTTATTTTTGCATTCAATGCCCTGGAGCAAGCATATAGCTGGTGATGTCAGAAGACCAAACCTGCATACTTGCTCTTGATCATTGGCCAGTTAAAAGGTAATAAAAACCTTTTTTTTTCCAGTTTTGCATAGAGAGTGGAAGAGTTGGAACCCTTGTCTGTTTACTTATTGCTGGCTTTGTCCCTGCTGGGGAGATTTCCACTATTTGTTCTGAGGAGCATTGTCATCAAGAAAGAAACTGATGGCAAATTCAAAATGTTATGGTTTATCTGGAACAGGAGGTAAAGGGAAGTCCTCCAAAGAAGACACCTGCTGTAGCTTCGGGGACTAATCCTCTTTATGTGTCCTGGCCACTATTGTCACCAGGATAGAAGATGAGAGGAAATTCAAAACTTTGATTTGTCACCGGAAAAGGAATAGAGGGAAACTCTTCCAACTAGCTCCAGTGACAGCTGTCTGGGACGGAAACTCCTATACTTTGGAAAGATTTCCTGTTACGTCCTGTTGTGTCTTTAGCACAGTAAGTGAAGGTTATTCTCCACAATGGAACATATATTGCAAAAAACAGATGGGCTTTAACCATTCGCTGCACTATCCAAGCCTAAAAAAAAACAGCTTTGGTTATACTTTAAAAGGGGGCACTTGGCAAGTGTTTCTGACACAATCGAGCACTCCCCAGACGCCAAGTTTGAAAGATCACAACTGTACGTTACATGTAATGTTTGGGCTGTGCCAGGCTTTAATTGAACACTGCTTCTCTCGGTGGACCCTGCCAGCAGTAGAGTAGCAGTAGAGAGGGGTGCCAAGAAAATGCTACCCAAAATAACCTGAGAGTTGGTGTTCTTGAGTCTAATATGTCCCTAACTCCCCTAACTCTACCTGCTAATGGGACAAGGCCAATGAATTCAGAATAATTTGCAAGTATGGTAGGGATAATATGTTTCTTAGTATAGTGGAGATTTTTCATAGCCTACAATGGTTCCAAAGCATACTACAAAGGGAGGGAGCAGCTGCACTCTGACCTCTGATGAGTGAAGTTATGTATTACTATTTACAACTGAATTCCTTTAAAATACTGACAGCAAAAAATTGGCCTGTGTTTTTTAAATGATTTACTCTCTCTCTGAGAAAAGACTTCTGGCAAGTTCAAGCAGTGCTGTAAGATGAATAAAAAGATGAATATTGTAAGTTATGGGAAAAGTTTTTGTAATTTTCCAAGTTTCACTCTACTTAAAAATATATTTGCCTGATAAGGTTCAATCAGGAAGGATGAGAAGCATGGGAACATTAAGAAGGAATTACTAGTTAGCAGTTCGCCTGGAATCCTGAGACTTGATGGAGAGAGAATGAGGTGGGGGCTCGCTTACCAAACTAATTTCCAGCAAAATCTAAGAGAAGAAATACAAAGACAAGATGGTCGCCGTGTCGCTATTAATGAACGGTGCGAGCAAGACTAATGACGTAAAGATACATAGCCTCCGGCAGTCTATTAACAGTCTTCTAAAAAGAAGATGGGAAGTTATTTGCTTCTAGGTGGCTAATTAGGAAAAGCTTCAACTCAAAATCTCAATCATGCTTTATCTTCTGTTACGTTCCTCACTGGTGGTCGGCCCAGTCTAGTGTGCTATATAGGTTTGATTCCAAAACAGGAAAGAAAAAAAAGGCCAAGTATGTATTACAGGGAAAGCTTCATCTCTGAACAGGCAGATGTTCATAAAAAATATAAATCCTAGCCAACATTTCAAGGTGGATCAAAGCTGAGTTAAGGTAGAGATGTCCTCTCCTTCCTCTACTAACATAGAAGGCTTCTTACCTCCTACAACGCTATTGTAAACAAAAGGGGTTATGTCCTGATGTAACTCTCATCCTGCTGTTGTTTTCAGTTCTTGGAGGACTATTGTCTGACCACAAAAATATAATGGCTCCCACACAATATCTCTAATACCAAATTTTATCAGAACGAAGTGATGCTGCAGGCAAACTAGAATAATTAGAAGAAGTCTGCTGCCACTAGGGGATCCAGCCTTCATCGACCCCCGGCATGCTGCTCACAGAAAAATGAATGGGTCCACATAGCAATTTCAGAGACTGGGGTTTTTTTTTTTATTTTAAATGACAAGATGCATCAACAACAGCAGTCCTGGAACACCTCAATGCTTTTGTTTATGCAGCTTGTTACTGGATGCACGCTGTCAGAGCCAATAGCGACGAGTTGTTTCACCTTTAGCAGCCGCCGTTCCCATAAGGCACGTATACCTACTGGTACTTGGATGCCCCCAGGACTTAAACTATTTGCTCTGATCAGGTGATGCCACAGGCTGGCCCCCAGGAACAAGGAGACGTATTGACTGATGTCAAGGTACAAGACAAACAGAAAGCAAGACACAAGACAGGAACAGGAAACAAATACAAGACAGGAACTAATACAAGATAAATACAGGATACAGTTCTACTGGCCTCTACGCCCCCGCAGCATACCGTCTCCCTTCTCTACTCTATTCTCTCCCTCGCCGCCTCCTCCGAGTTACCTAAATACACAATGGCCTGGGAACGGGAACTAGACGCATCTATAGCGCCAGCTGACTGGGAGAAGTCCTTTGTCCTCACCCACTCCCTTTCCATTGCTAGCCGGGCACATGAAAAAAAATTTAAAATACTTACCCGGCGGTATAGATGTCCCGCGCTCCTCCATCGGTACTACCCATCGGTGTCTGAAACCTGTTGGCGCTGTGCCGCCTCTCCAGGTCACAGGAACTATATATGGTGGAGTTGCC